AGTCAGCTGCGTTTTCTGCTGCTTCTCACAAGGTTTGATTGAGTTGCTGTGCAGCTTTTTGTTCATCCTCTCTATTCTTGGCCAGAAGAAAGTTGCTTAGTTGTATTTCGATGCGGTCTTTGGCATCCAGTGCAAAATCTCTGATCTGTATCTCCAAATCTTTGATTGCAGTGCCAACCCCTGCCACGGATTTCTGCTGCAGTAAAGCTTGCAAAGATGAAAGCTTTTCAAAGAATTTCATTGGTAATCCATCATCAAGAGATACCCTCGGAATGGATCGCAGAAACTCGAGCTCAATTGTCGCCATGAGAGAAGTCAAAGCAACACAACCCATCTCTCTCTCTCTCTCTCTAAATTACTCTGAAGTTTTCTCAACCAAACCCAGAAAAGGGTCGTTTACTGTTAGCGTTTAGTGCACGTCAAGCGTCCATTCAGCCAATGAAGATGGTAGCTTAAGCGCCAGCACGAACCAAATTTGAGAGAAGATGACAGCACGTTTCAAGATTGACTTCTTGTGAGAACCATTTGTAGGCCTTCTTGATTTAAAGGGGCGGGCCTTCTCGATTTAAAGGAACGGGGTCATCTATTGACAACCTAAGTTGGTTTACCTCTTTGTGATATAAGTCTTCTTGGTTTGAACCGATTAGCTATGATATACATGAAACCTAGGTTGGGTTACCTACTTATGGTTCTTTATTGGTTAGAGTCACCGACAGGTTCATCCAAAGTACACTTTCGGGTTGTGATTAGGGTCACAGGGCAGCTTTCACTGTATGGTAAGTTTTTAGTAGCTTGGCACTTTAAAAACTATATACTGAATAGGTCCTTCAATTTTACTTGTTTATGGGGCAGGTCTTTGGAGGTCAACAAAGAGATATGGTCCAAACAAGAAGAGGTTTGAGCACTTGTCTTTCTTGAACCTGGCACCAAATTAAAAGTGGTCTGTTTGATATGGTCATTTCTGAATTCTGAGTAAGCTTCTTATGATCTTTAGCTGTAGTGTTTCAGGCTGATACACCAACTTAATATTCAGTGTGATTTCAATATTTCATGAAGTGATAAAGATTTGGTCTAATGGAAGCGGCAGAGACGCAGAGCTACCTAGTTGAATTCCCAACTCTGAGGGCCCCTAATGCAGCATGGGTCGGAGGAGGTAATTAAATCACGGTAACTCAGTGGCTCAGTAAACTTTATCTTTCTAACCATTAGTCAAATTGTTCCGCTGACCAACACAACCATCACAACAAGAAAGTTTGTCAGCATTTGTAGTGCCTAGGAAGCAATGGGTGAGTGTTGCATGCAATGGTTTTGTCATACTTGAAATGGAGGAAGTTGTATAGGATGGTGCAAAAGAAGATCAGAGGAAGTCCACATGATTTTTATATATCAATAATGCATTTCAAACCATTTCTTGCATCTAATTACTCATGAACTACTGTGAATATCAGAATCAAATATTTGGTTTAAGCTAAGGCCAACTGATTTATGTTCTCAAAAAGTGCAAATTTGAGAGATGGACCCAAACTGTAATCCTTGTGTTATGTTAAAGTTTTGCTTTAAATGATGGGATTATCAACTAACATGTAGATATACCATAATACCCCCTTCTGACTCAAGACTTGAGAATGGGAATGAACAATTTAGTCTTTTCACTTGAGTGACTGTCACTTTACTCCACACTTTAATTTGCAAAGAGTTCCCTCCCCTACTTTCTGCATTCTGCCATTGATCACACTTTGCCCTCTGACCAACTTAAATAACAGAGTTTCTTAGAAACCCCTTAGCTTCTTCCCCACAACACTTACCCCATTGCAGATCTCCAGTAGGTGCTGTCAAGGAAGCATCTGAATTCATGGCCACAGAAAAACTACAAAACAGTGTAAGAAACTCTATCTCCACTCTTCTCCTATTCTATTATCCAAGTACATGTCGTTTTATAATTCTTTCGTTGTTTCTGGGCATGCATATGTGCATCTAGTTGGGCAGAAGCCGGTAAAGGACCAAGTCCAGCACTATGTGGCTAAACTAAGTGTTGGGAGGAGGCCTGAAAGGCCATTAAGTCCAATACTCTGCCTCACGAAAATGTGCTAGTAAAGCGCTCGATCCTAACAACACATCTTTAGTCCAAATCTTGTTCAGCTCTAAGTAATTTGGTTTCTGAGACATATATACACACAAAAGGCACTATTGGATTTTCCACTCCAATAAAAGTATGAGTTAAATGTTACATAAAGATGAGAGAAACAGAAGAGCACCACAAAACTTATTATCTAAACTCTGCACACGAAGCAAAAACGCTAGGGAGGGGGGGGGGGGGTCAGTTCAACTGGTTGATGTTGATCCTCCTCTCTTCTATCAATGTATTCTTCTTCTTTTTGATATGTTCTATATCAATGGCAATGTACCAATTTGTAACTACATTCTATATATTCTGTACAATTGGCAAATAAATACCGTAAAAAAGCCTTATGGGAACATTATTGGATGCCCTATCCAACTCTCCCATACAACACCCAAAAGAATGTGACCAAAAAAAAAAAAAAAAAACACAACACTCTAGAAACTGTATTAGGCTGGTAAGTTGAGAAAGGATGCAGACCATCTTATCAGATCTTCGGAAAATACTAGGATGCTCCATTGCATTCTAGATTGTGGTCTTTGGGACCAGATCTTCATGGCTTCTTTGTAAAAACTCAGGTCATAATGACTGCAATCCAACGGAAAACTGACTTAAAAAATAATCTACACATGCCTGAAATTTTTGGACGAAAAGTCATGGTGGTTGAGCCCCACAGAATATGTATGAGATTGGTTGGTAAGTTTTGTCATAAACTATGGAGGAGGGCCCTCTGCTCGCACAATGGAGGATGAGAAGGATTGATGCTTGGATTCGGAGACGTAGATTCCATTCCAAGCGTTTTTAGTAGGAATTGTCTCTCCTGAAAACGAATGAAAAAACAGTGTCAACATTTAATTAAGTTTAGGCCGGTCAGATAGTGAAAGAATGAAGGGTGTTACTTACACTTTCTGAAAATTTCGGGCTGGGAAAAGCAGCTGCTAGTGATCTGAACATCGGGGTTACTTGAAGAGGGAAACAACATTCTTCATTCGAATAATCACATATAGTCTCATTAACGGGATTAACTTTGTCACAAGCTGGGAACGTATCGACTGGAAACATACAAATTTTATACGCTTGAAGTATTAATCCGATTAAAAATGCCTTGCATAAAGTACAAGTCTTTCACACCTTTAGAATTCTAGGCATTGCCAGAAATTCCTTTTGCAAATTCATCATCAATGTGGGTTGATTGTAATCCCGATTCAATATCCTGATGCAAAGCACATAGCTCGGCTTCGCCCTTTTCACTATTATCACCAACCCCGTGGGCTAGTAAAGATGATCCAGTGCTATACTCCGAGCTGCCTGCAGACTCTTCCGATAAAGCAGGTTGCCTGCACAACACTATATTAGGCACTTCCCTTTTCGTGGACAAACATTCCCGAGTAACATATTTAGCTTGCAAACCAGCTTGGTTGGCGTGAGTGACCATGCACTCTCATCCCTTAAGAGAGGTCGGGATTTCGAACCTCCTCTCGTATGGAAAAAACCAATATGGCCAATACTTTGCCCCTTAATTGGGTCGGCCCGGTGCGAATGGGGATTAGTCTGAGTATGGTACGGGCTTAAAGGTGCCTAGACCTCATGGTCTGACCAAAAAAAAAAAAAATATCTAGCTTGCACGTGACAATACCTCCAAGATGGTTGACTGCATTCGTTAATGCTTTTTAATTCATTTGCAGATTGCTTAAAATTCTCGAGCTGAATCTCCATTTCTCGAGCTAAATCTCCATCTCAGAAATTTGGCATTTCGTCACATCACCATCTTTTGTATGATTGAGAAAATCTTTGAGTACCTGAAAAGATTCTTTTCATATCAGAAGATCCACTGATTGAGCCGTTATCATGTGAACAAACAACAACATATAGACAACATAATACAGAGTAATGCAAAAGAAAGATCGATATTGGCTGAATTTCTCCATACAAGAATGCTCGTTTTTCCTGACCTTGCAAGCGTTTTCAAGACTCTGGTTTGTGTTTTCAGAATTGACTTTGAGTAACAGCGAGCTCAGTAGTTCCGCTTGTTGCATCAATGCGAGTATCTTCGGATCATCCTTCTTAAGAAATGTTCCTTCGGTTTTATTGCTAGAGCCTGCTTGATCCAAAACAGGTGTTAATTATAAAAGATAAAGAACTTCTAAAATAGTTGATGGTCTAAATGACTTTTGTATAACCTAATGGTGTGTTAAGAGCCATAGATTGCTTCAGATTATTTACCATTGGCATGCGAATCTTTGGTGTCCTCATCGTTTTGATGACTCGATACATTGGTCCCGGGACTGTAGAGATTTTGACCTATTACTGCAAATGGAGACCTTAGCATCTGATTCGTTGCATCACAACTCACGAGTGATTTTTCCCCGTTGCTAAAACTTTCAGGGGGGTCTGGAATGTGAGTCCTCCTAAACGCCAAAAACCAAACGTTATTTAATGGAGCATGATCATATAGAGTTGAAGCACACTAAACGAATTTTACCTTTGCTTCTTAAGGGGCACGGCAGATTCTGAAATGCTATCACTACTATTAATGGATGAATTACTATTCTCTTTTGCTAATGCCTCCTCGTTCTTCGCTCTCTTTTTGCAGAGGGTCGTGAACCGATTCTTCACAACATTATCAGTTCTAGCATGCATCCATACATTAGCTTGGATCAATTCTAGCATGCATCCATACATTAGCTTGTCATTGTCATTCATCATCTGGAGATATAGACTCTTCTATGTCTGTACATTGTGATTCATCATATTCAGGTCCCACGATTTTGATCTATATATATGAGAAACAGAATGCAAATTAGGAATGAACGAAGAAAGTGAAATGAGATATTAATGAAGCTAAGGATGACAAGGCTAAACACATGTAAAGAAAATTATACTACGCAGCTTCTAACCTAAAAATAGCATCAATTCTAACCTCAAAAATTCGGGTTCTGTAAATTCTATGTTGGATATCCTCTGCAGAAGTAACAACAGATGGACAACACTGCTGGAACTCAATTGACTTCAAGAACATAGTATTTTCCATAGAAAGAGGGATTTTTTTCAAACAATAACAAAATCTTAGGACTAAGCGCTCAATCAAATGAAATGAATATTTATCAACTCTCCATTGCTTGAGCGTTTTATCTTCAAGAAGCAAGAATTGTAATTGAGGAAATCGTCTTGCTTCTACTTCCCACACTTTCCCATAAAAGACATTTTTCAACTTGAGAACTCCAAGAAAAGGTAACATGCCCATTACCGTTAAATTGCTCTCCGAAAGGTTAATACCATTCAAGCTCAACTTCCTTAGTTGTAAAGGAAACACAAATGGTTTTGGAAGGGTTAGAACTTGGCCTAACAAAACTGAAATTGTTAGCATCTCAAGTCGTTCCAAATATTCAAGATTATCCAAAGTAATTGGATTGCCTCCAGGAACAAAGATTTTCAAATCTTTAATGTTTGGAAACCTGCAATGTACTCCTGTTCTGCAATGCGTTGGACACACCCAAAATAATGTTTGCATATTATCTTTATCCATGTTTGGAGGATCAATCACATAAGATTTGTCAAGTTCAAGATGTCGTAACTGCGGTGACTCCCAAATTGTTGAAGGCAAATGAATAGTAGGTGTTCCAAGTTGGGATTCTTTACTAGAAACAACAAGTGTCTACAAGTTTTGATTGGTTGACACTACATACTCAAGACCCTCAAACCATTCAGATACAGATAGGTATCTCAAAAAAACTAAATCATGTAAGCGTGTTGGCACTCTTTGAAGAAACGAAGATGGAGCAAAAGCCAAAACTCTAAGCAACTTGAAAGATATAAATATATCAGCATCTTCTTGAAAGAAGAAAATGGAACGAGGGTTGTTTGTTCTTAACAACACATAATAGTCAAATTTATGTGTGTATAAGCTTAACCAGCGGCATGAATTTGCAAACATGCCAAATGACCCTCGTGGAAGTTGCAGAGTATTTAAAGCACAAAAAATGCCCTCTTTCTGAGCTTCTCTTACGCAAAAGCCATGCAAGGCACTGTGCATCCTACAATTCTTATTTTTTATAGAAGTACTCCAATTGTCAATTAGAATAAGACTTCTATCAATAAGCTCTTGTAAGTACTCAAAGGCTTGATTTTCTAACTCCTTATTATACTCCAATGGCTTAATAAATCCCTCAGCAATCCATAACCTAATTATTAGTTTCACTTTGATTGCACTACGTTTTGGAAAGACTCCAAAATATAAAAAACAAACTTTTAAATGTTCTGGCAATTGATTGTAGGTGAGGGTGAGTGCCCTTCTATCTAGAACTCCAAACAACTCTATTTCCTTTTCAACCTTCTTCCATTCTTGTTGTATGTTGTCACACTTAGATAGACGCTTTGCAACTACAAGTATTGAGTGCGGCAATCCTTCACATATCTCTACAACTTGACTCCTAATTTTTTTAAATTCAGATGTCATATGTTGTTCTAAAAAAGAGTTATTGCAAAATAAATCCCAACTTTCTTCAGGATTTAGCAAAGACATGTGATGGACATAGGAAATTAAGGAGTTATAATCGTCAGCGAAAGGACTCCTTAAATGCGTAGTGCGCACTACCCGACTTGCCTTACCATATTCATCAGGAAGACATCTTCTTATATCATACCAAGCTTGAGTGTTGCATAAGTTATCCACAACAATTAGAAACCTCTTACCTCTCAAGAAGTTGTATACCTGCGTAGCTGCTACACCATCATTATCAGGAATGTTTGGCTCCTTTGTTAGTGTCCAAAGAAGGTCGTGTAGCATTTGGGTCTTGTTGTATTCGCAAGACATGGTAACCCAACCTCGTACATCAAAGCGGGATACAACCTTTGGATCATTATAGACACTTGTAGCTAAAGTTGTTTTTCCTATACCGGTCATACCAAGAATTGTGATTACTTTGAACCTACGACTCAATATAAAGTGATCATCGGGGATGAGTTTATCCACTATTAGCGTATGATCACGTTGACGACCCACCATTCTGCCCCCCTCAAGCATCCCCGGAGAATGTTTTATCCAAGGAATCAGTGGTCCTTCACTTTCATTCTTCACTGCTTCTTTGCTTATGCTGCTGCTAAGTTTCAGCAACTCTCTTGCGTTTTCTGCCGCTTCTCGCAAGATCTGGTGGAGTTTCTGAGAAGCTTTTTGTTGGTCCTCTGCGTTCTTGGCCAGAAGGAAGTTGCTGAGTTGTATTTCGATGCGATCTTCAGCTTCCAGTGCAAAGTCTCTGATCTTCATCTCCAAATCTCTGGTTGCAGGGCCACCCCCAGATTTCTCTTGCACAAAAGCTTGCAAAGATGAAAGATTTTCAAACAAAGAATTGATTGATATGGATGCTTCATCATCAAGAGAAACCCTTGGATTATTGGGTTGCAGAAACTCCAACTTCATAGTTGCAGTAAGAGAAGTCAAAGCAACAGATGCCATCTCTCTCTCCCTCTCTCTCTCTTTCAAATTATTTAGATCTGCTTAATTGTTTAGTTTTCTCAATGAATGAGTACTGGGTGTGGACACTAAGGCACTGACCCTCCAAACATTGCATAAAAAGATGAAGATGGTCCTTGTTAAAAAATTGTTTTAATTTCTCTCTGATCTGTAAACTTTGTCTCCACCGTAGTACCAATGTTGCACATTGAAGTATTATTAATAATTAATTAATATTAATAATTTATATATATATATAAAAGTAAAATCCTCCTAACAAATTTTCCCCCCAAAACTTTTGTAGTAAAGTTTATTTGGTAAGTAAATGTCAAATGGAAATTAAATAAATCTATTAATTGTTATATTACATAATTGGTAATATTATGTATGGTATTATATTCTATAATATAATTGAAAATATTATTGTTCAAATATAATAAAAATCTTATGAAATAATGTAAGCATAATAAAATAATAATAATAATAATAATAATAATAATAATAATAATAATAATAATAATAATAATAATAATATAAAAACCATATAAATTTTTCCCCAAAACTTAGTGGCATTTATATAATATCCTAATTTTCTAATTTAATTAATTATCAAAATATTGAAATTATATATTATATATTATTCATTTATGTGTAGACATACTTATTACTGTATATAAAGTAAATTAGGTAAATATATTCTTCAAATATAAAATAAGTATCTATATATAATTTTTTGGTAAGCAAATGTAAAATTGTAACTCTAATTTTAATTGGTAATTGGTAATTGGTAATTGGTAATATAATAAAAACCATAAATGTTACCCTTAATCATATCTAAACACCTATATATACATCACATTCTCTTCAATACAAACAGTACCAAGTTACGAAGAACCTAAGGGAATATTCTCTACAACTGCATAGCAATGGTGTAGAGAACATGGACCTTCAAGAAGAGGAGGAACAAGACCCATATTCTCTGCGTATCCAGAAGAGCTGTTGTACTACACCTACACATTTGGTAAATCTCTGTATCCTTTTTCAACTCTTTTTTTTTTTTTTTTTTTTTTTTTAATAAAGAATAGAAAATCATATATACCATTGGTGAAATTTAAAATCTATCTACATATATTATATAAACTATGATTATATTGATCATATATATCATATGATCTTCTTCATCATTAATCTGGACGAGTTTGCTCAACCCATTAAAAGGTATTTCTCTAATACCTTATCTCAATCCATTAAAAGTTGTTTATTATTGGACTTTGGGCAAGATTAAGTAATGCACTATTCATAGTGATAGAAAAAAAAATTGACCATCTGATTATTAGTGGACTCTGAGCAACTAGATCTGCAGGTCATTTGCATGAGAGGGGACATCATTGAATGAGTTTGGACTATTAATATTTTTTTTCCTGATGTGACGGTCCTTCCAGCACCAATAGGAGTAACACAAGGATTTGGAGCCATGGCAATGTGTTGAGGATCGTGAGTAGTGCTCCTTGACAAAAGCCTAAAGCAACAGCATATGAATATGATAGAGATTTAATTATTTTAATTTTTATTGATAAAGATTATTCTCTAACCAAACAATTAGTAATATTTACGATTTATTGAACCAACCTTCATATTTTTGGTCAAATGAGTACACATGATGGAATATATGTTCATTGCACGGAATCTTAATATTCATTGAGTTTCCAAATCGTATATTGCATAAGAATTATTTTACCATAATATGAATTGTAACCAATTTAATAAATCTAAATATTAACAAGTATGTATGGTAATTTTATGTATGTTAATATTATTTCATATGGACGTAATACTATAATATGATTTATAACCAATTTAAGAAATCTATATTGATAACCAATAATATGGTATATAACCAATAACCAATATGGTATATATATATATATATATATATATATATATATATATATAATTTTTCACTCCTTATTATAAAATAATAATTCAATAAAAGTTTTATATAAGTAAATAATCTGTAATATTTATCTTAAGTATAATTTGTCAAATTAATCAATTTTAATTTGATAATGATTATTTTCTAATCAAACAATTGGTAATATTTATGATTTATTGAACCAATTCATATATGTTTTTTATCATCCAGACTAATTTTAATGGTCAAATTAATAATAAATTTTATTAGTTATTAATTAGCATAATATTAATTTATTATGCATAATTACTGTATAAAAATAAATTACCGTTCAAATATGATATACATGTTCATTGCACGAAATCTTAATATTAATTGGGTAAAATATCACTACATCTAATATTCTAATTGACCAATTGACTGAAAATAAAAAAGAATAATTGGCTGAAAATGAATATGATATTACTAATTAACTGAAAATATAAAATGAAATGAATATTAATAGTTGACTGCAAATAAAAAATGATCTATAATTAACTAATATAAAAAAAATAAATGGTTAGATCATTGCATTTTAATTAAAAATTGATGGAAACTAAAATTTGACGGAATATTTCAACAACAATATTCTACATCATAGATAATAAAGGCATATTTTAAACAATAATAAAGTTAAATTAAAAATGCAACGGAAATATTTCAATAATAATATTATACATAATCAATTAAAACTCGAACGAAAATTAGGTAAAAATATCATTGCATATGATATTCTAATTGACTAATTGATTAAAAATAAAAAAGAATAATTGGCTGAAAATGAATATGATATTACAAACTTACTTAAAATATAAAAAAATCCCTAATTGACTAATATTCTACAATTATATATTTTCACTCGAGTCACCCATCATGATGGACTGAAGGTGTTAGCTATAGACGATGATGGACAAGATTGTGTTGCTACTACCAATGTCGAAAGATGTTTCAATAATGTGTACATACAATCGTTGATATTTTTTTAAATGACAAATTTGCTATATATCTAGACAAAAAAATATATATCTTCCATACAAATGAATTAAGATAGTAATTCATTCCTATAACTGAGTTGCTTGAGAATGAGCACATTTGACTAATTTAAAAAAAAAAAAAAAAAAAAACTAAACAATGATAAGTAAAATCTCCAAAATTACAGCACCGCATGCGTACATCTACACATTAGCTATTAATTTGAGCAATTATTTGCTCAAATTTAAGCAATGATAACATCAAAACACATAGATAATCCAAACCATATGTTTAATTGCACTATATAATATTTGATGTTCTAATTTAAATAATTATATATTGATCCAAATATTCTTAATATATTACAACAAATCCATTCTGTGCATCGAACGGGTGAAAATACTATTATTCTAATAATTTTTCTTTCCTTCTTTGGTGTAATTACTATGCTAATGTATTTAAATATTGAAAGAGAATTCTATAAAAAGGATCCTTAACTCACTAAAATTCTATATTATTCTTAAAAACTAAACCCCCATTTCTTACTTACCCGTCCAAACAATAAAAAAAAAATTACCAATTAATGATACTAATAATAATTAGTAAAAAAGTTAGTAGTAAAATAGAAAAAAAGATCCTTAATTCACAAAAAATAGAAAATAAGAAAACGAGATTCACTAATTAATTAAAACTAACACTAATCAGTAAAAAAAAGATCCTTAATTCACTAAAAATGAAAATATAAACGGAATTTACTGATTATGACTGATAATAATTGGTAAAAAAAAAAAGAGTCTTAATTCAATGAAAATGGAAAAAAGAAACGTAAGGGTGTGAAAAAAAAAAAGTCATAATAAGGATAACAGTAAAAAAAGAAAATTCTACCAAAAATTAGAATAATAAAAAAATTTTCTTAATTCACGAGAAATAGAAAAGGAAATGAAATTCACTGATTAATTAATAGTAATAATAATCAGTCAGAAAATAAGCAGTAAAATATGAAGAAAAAAAAAAGATCCTTACTTCACTAAAAATGGAAAAATAAACGAAATTTACTGATTAATACTAATAATAATCAGTAAAATTGAAAATAAAAAAGGATTCTTAATTCAATGAAAATGAAAGATTTTTTTTAAAAAAGGGGTCATAATAAAAATTACAGTAAAAACAATCCTACAAAAAAAATTGAAAAAAAAAGATTCATAATTTACGAAAAATAGAAAATGAAATGGAATTCACTGAATAATTAATACTAATAATAATCAGTAAAATTAAAAGTTAACATTAAAATAGAAAAATATAAAAGGATCCTTAATTCACTAAAAATAGAAAAAGTAACGAAAGTCACTGATTAATACTAATAATAATAAGTTAAATAGGTAAATATAAAAAGATTCTCAATCTATACCATTATTAAAAAGAAAATCCTTCTTCCTTACTTTCACACCCAAACAATAGAAAAATAAAAAAAATCTATAATATAATTATATAATTAAAAACAAATTTCTATTTACTTGATTTATCGCCCAAACAATAGTAAATAGTAAAGGTAAATTAAAAAAAATGATAAAAAAAAAAAGAACAAAAATATTTCACAATAATATTCTATATTATCAATTAAAAATGGAATGAAAATTATTATCAATTAAAAATGGAATGAAAATTAAGTAAATAAATAAATATCTGTTCAAACATATTTTCTCAACAAACACCTTCACTAAGGCTCGATCTCATGACTTCCCACATAAGAGAAGTCACTACATGCCATCTAAGCACAAGCTACTTGGCAACAAACATTAGATTAATTGAAAAAGGAAATGAATATTAACAATTGTTTGAAAATAAGAAAAGATTCATAATTGACTAAAATAGAAAAAAAAATGGTCAGATCATTACATTTTAATTTTTCACAATAATATTACACAGTATAATACATCAAATCATAAATATGTCATAAATTTTACACAATTTTAAACAATAGAATGGAAATATTTCAATAATAATATTCTACACTATCAAGTAAAGGTAAATTAAAAATAAAAAGGAAATACTTCAATAATAATATTCTACATCATCAATA